TAGAAACAAAATATTGTTATTATTATTATTATTATTGTATCAATACATTGTAATAGTTTGCTCTTCATGCTGGTATCATTGATCAAGCCACTGCAGATGCTGCTAATAAAATGTACCCTGCCTGCAGAGGTATGAAAAATAATAATTTATATTAGCTTGTTTATAATTTTGGTATTGATGATAGATTTAATTATAGCTAAAAAGTATGAGGAAGCCTATGACAAGTGTGAGAAAATGTCTGACTTTATACTAAATGAAGCACAGAAGAAGCTAGGAAGAAGCATCAATCCTTATGATATCAAACTAGACTGTCCTGTCCCTGGCTGCTTTGACATTTCTAATGTAAGATGAATTCTTTTCCTTTTTTTTTCATGTACCATTTAATTTACATTCTCTCCTTCTATTATGTGTTGTTTTGTTGCCCTTCCTTTTTTCTGTATGATCAGTTAACTTCTTTTCTCAATCGTTCTGATGTACATGAAGATCTTGGAGTTGGTACACACCAATGGCAAATGTGTAGTGAACTGGTTGAAAAAAATGTAAGAAAATAATATTAATGTTCATGAAATTGATTTTATTGTAATTATCACTGCTTTTCCTTAGCTCATTAATGATGAAGTTTTGAGCTTCAAGTCTGCCCTTTCAATGGTTTTACAAGAAAAGAAAAGAGGTAAATACATAAGTGTGAATGTATTTATCTCTAAATATAAAAATGTCTGATTGATACAGTAACTATGTTGTATGCTTAATGTAGTGTTGATATACAGTGGGAAATGGGACTATGTCTGCAATTACTTTGGAGGAAGAGCATGGACTAAACTAGTGGAATGGGAAGGAAAAGTAAAAGAAGAAAAGATATACATAATTATGGTTCTTATTTTGTTATATTTTATTCATGTAATAGAACCAGTTCAATTCAGCAAGCTACAAATCATGGATAGTAGATGGTGCAATTGTAAGTAATAAGTATAATTATCAAGAGTCCATTTATGATTGTGTATTGCTATGTAGGCTGGTGAAGTGAAGGCTTATAGTGATTTGACTTTGTTGGAGGTTGACAATGCAGGGCATCAAGTACCAATGTTTGTACCTAAACAGGTCAGCCTATCTTTATATAGCATCTTTTATGACTCAAATCTTTCTTCTATTTCTCTTTCTTTCTTATTGCTTGTATTAAATAGGCCCTTGATATACTGGACAGGTTTATCAAGAACAAACCTTTTGCTGCTTCTTAACTTATTGCAGTGATAATACTAATTTATATTTGCCAATGTGTACATAAAATTAATGCTTAGCTATTTGCTCAACTGCTTTTATTACAATTGTCATTTAACTTGTAAAAATTCTCTGAGAGAAATATGCAGCTTTTCTTTGCTGTACTCTGTCCCCCAGTGACATCATTAGACTCAT